AACTTTAATAAATTTATTAATAGTCATAACCTCATATGTATAATTTCTTTCCATTAAAACTAAAATAAAATTTTCGAAGTTTTGAATTGGAAACATATCAGAATGAAATGAATAAAAAATAGATAATTATTATATTTCACTATGCAACAAAAGAAAAGTTGAACGAAATGAAGTGTGTCTGATTATTTAATCCATCAAAAAGTGATGGCATACGTAAAAAACTACAGTACTAACTTAATTAGGTATTATTTACAATAATTTAATTATTAAAAATAACTTACAATTGTTTCAAAAACACCTTTATTCCACCTGATTAAACAAAATAGCCATAGACAACAACTAAATCAAATACTACTTTATGGGTAGATGAAGACCATGCATGTAATAGATTACTATTGGTAGTTAGACATTATACTTTACATGTTTGAAAAGTAGGTAGCTAAATAAATAATACTAGACTAGCTCTTTCGAAACGTGATTAGCTCCCATTTGTTTATAATAACTTTAGATGATGAATCAGAGAATCAGATTCCATGGTAGCATTATTAACAAAAATAATAATATTTAATAAATATATTATATAATCTATTAAATCAAATAACTTGTTTCGACTCAATGACATGAATCTTAAGTTAAAATTGTTTACCTATTGTAAATGACGTGTTCAATTCCATAGATCATTTTTTTTTATTTACTTAATTAATATATGTAACTAATTTTAATGTAATAAAAAAAACTCTATTAAATCAAAATATATACTAATCAATATTACTTTTAAAAAATCTAATGCAAGTTCAAAGACAAACAGCTCGGCAGAAGCTGTTGGCACGGGTTGAATGACATTATACAAAAAAAGAAAAGAAAAGAAAAGAACAACAATGTGGTGATGAGTTGAATTTTAAATTTTTTTAGTTTGAAACACAAATAAATTTTGTTTGATGTAATTGAATCTAAACCATGGGCCAGGGCCCATCTTTGTAAGTTCGGTGCTTGATCCAGGAACGAAATGTGACGTTTTGGGTTTAGACGCCCAATTCACTTGTATGAGGGACAAAAGCGCCGCCAAGTCAAACCAACTCACGAAAATGGGACCATTCGACTGTGCTTGTACAGCCATTGAGGGCTTTCCGCGTGAGCAGTCAAACACTTCATTTTTTTAGTCGCGTTACACATAGAAATGTGAAAACGTATCCCTCATTTTTTCCCAAAGTGAGAAAAAGAAAATTTTTGGCGGAACGGCCCACTCCGGGTCAATAATATTGAATTTTGGATTAATATGGTTTACTTTATGTGAATTGCACATTCAAACACTACAGAATTTTTTTCTCTCATTTTCTAATTAATTTTGTAAATAATTATAAATTATTATAAAAAAAAAATTCCTAACGACCCTCATTATTTATAGGAATAAAACTTAACTGCAACTCGATAAGGGAACATCGGTTAAATAAATTATAAGATGATTACAAAATTGGGTGTAACAGTTACTAATATGTTGTGTCGACTCTACCAAGTCTAGAACAAACTATTCTCTAACTTTCAATCGGGGTCAGAAACCTTCCCCAGGGGTTCGGAACCTTTTTGGCTACTGTTTTGCGTTTTTCCTCCTGCAGTGTCAGCACTTTAGTTGTTAGAAGTGTCAATATCTTGCTTGTTCAAGGCAACCTCCAACTTCAAAAAATCAAAACATACCCCAACAAAACTTTCGTCATGCCTTGTTAACACCTAAAGCACGTAGTTGGTGGGTTAATCACAATTTCAAAACATTCTTCTTTGCTTAACAGCAGTCCACCAACAACCCTACATTTAGGTCAAGAGAAATAGAGGAATAGGAAAGAAAGAGATTGAAATTATATTCTTTTATTTTGCTTTAATTCATTCATATTATTTAAATAAATTATTAAACTTTTAAAAAAATAATAAAAATAAAGTATTTTTTTCCTTTTCTTCTCTTTAATTTTTTGATAATAAAATAGATAATTTTTTTCTCCACTTCTCTCCCCCTCTCTCCTCTTTTTAATTTTTTTCAACTTAAACATATATTATAAAGTAATTTATATAATAAATAATAGTATACCACGATGGTGGCTGATCAATATATATATATATATATATATGCCATCATTGTGATTTTTGGTAATAAAAGTCCATAAAACCTTTGATGTAAATTGAAGGATACACACAACTGGTTATATTTGGAAATGAGGAAAATCACGATAGCCAACTCATTGTGTATATATAGGTTTTTTTTTTTAAAAAAAAAAAAATTTAGTTGCACAATTTAGGTAATTTTTTATCTTTTATTTCATATAATTCGAATTTATAATCTCTTACTTTTAATCGAATAAAATAATCACTGAATTATTTAAATTGTTAACAATGCATATATAGTTTTAACTATTAAAAATGCTGTAGCTAATTAGTAACAATGCTATGTGTATTTTATTGATGAGTAATAATATCATATAATATCATAAATTTATAATATATTAATTTTTTAT